TATAATTCTATTGGTCCAAGAATCACTTCATTTGGAGTTTTTTAGAAAGAGATATAGTCAAAATACCGAAACATATACGAATAAAGTCATCATCATACTCGCACTGATTTTTATCAAATGAGTCTTTTTCATTAATTTCCTACAAAAGCTACAAGAGAAATTAGCAATAACTACTCTTAAAGTAATTTAAAATAAAACAACTTAAAATTTAACTAAAATAAGTTAAATTAATCACTTAACAAGTGATCAAACTTAAATTAGAAAAACACCTAAAATGTTAAAATTCGAACCTAAAATCTCAAAAATTTAACTACTTAAGCTTCTAAAATGAGTCAAAATAACTCTATATAATAGAGTTATCAATTAGCATGGATATTAGAAATTCTACCCTTCTAACGAAATGGATTTGGAGGTTCGGACAAGAAAAGGAAAGTCTATGGCGAAAGGTTTTGGTGGAAAAAGAGGATGGCGATCACTTGAGCTTGATTTTGACAGCGGCTACGCTTCCATGCTATGGAAGAGTATTATTTCACCCTTTTCCCTGACTAATGATTTTTTTCTGCAGGTTAAATCCAATATGGGAATGGTCATTGGAAATGGAAGTAATGTATTGTTTTGGACTGATGAGTGGGTGGAGGGTGGTGTCCTGAAAAATATGTTCCCTAGAATTTATGCTCTAGCAGAAAATAAAGAAGGGAGACTGGCTGAATTTGGGGAATGGGCTGGTAACGAGTGGAGATGGGATATCTTGCTAAGGCAACAACCTTTTGGTTGGGAAGAAGAGTAATGGACAGAATTCAAAAACACAATTGAAAGCTTCAATCTTAATCATCAGATAAGTGATGAAATTGTTTGGAAGGGTAATAGCAATGGGAAGTTCACAGTTCGATCCTTTTGTGAACAGGCCATGGACAAAAAGGGCAAGCAAGAATGAATTTAGAGTCTGGTTTGGGTTAATATTGCTCCACAAAGAGTGGAGGCCTTCCTGTGGCAAATGGTTCAGGGTAGGGTGGTTGTCAAAGGAGAGCTACTGAGGAGAGGATTAATTAGTTATGATGCTGCAATATGTAGCTTGTGCAATGGAAGTGTCGAAACGGTTAATCATCTGTTCGTGACCTGTTTTAAAGTTTGGGAATTTTGGACAAAATGGTGCAGCTATTGGAACTACACCTGGACCACTCCCAATAACATTAAAGCTGCATTGGAGGCATGGAACGGAGCTTATGTGAGAAATAGTGGTATGAGAATTTGGCAGATGGGGTTTTTTGCGATTTCTTGGACTATTTGGTTAAGTAGAAATGAAATCACTTTTAAAGGGAAAGCTGGGACCCTGAGCAGATTTTAGACTTGGTGAAACTAAGAGTTGCAAGTTGGGCTGCTGCTAAATGGCTTGATGAGCATCCCAGTGCGCTGAGCTTGTTCTGTCAGCCCAAGGTGCAGGTCACTAAGAAGGACAAAAGGAAACCAAGAGTAAGCATGGAATGGAAGAAACCGGAAGAGGGATGGATGAAATTTAATGTTGACCATTTCAATGAAAGTATATTGCCGATAAAGAGTTTCTTTTTTCCTCTTTTTGTCATAATGACATTCATGCCAAGTCTAATAAATTATAACCTCACCTTTGTTTTCCAGCAAACTAGGTGTAGCTTTTGTTCATGTTTTTTTTGGCTTTAGCTTTGACAGTAACGAACTGCCTCGGGTTACACACAAGGCAGGGCTACAAGACCCCTGCATAATCAACAAACAGATGAAGTTTAACAAATATTCGGGCTACCGACTCTGACAAATTTGGTTTTTTGGTTTCTATCCATCGAATAACCTTAGCGATAATTGATGATTGTGCTCAAGCTAATAAACCACACCCTTTCCTCAGAGTAACAATTTAAGCTCCAAAGGCAGGTGTTAATGCCCTTCACATGCTTAAAAGGTAAACTAATGATGCAATTTCCTCAGTTCAACTTAAAGTCCATGAGATTTCACAACTGCGAAAATAAATAGACTTCACCATTCAAGTTAAAGCTGTAAAAGAAACTCCTTGTAGTTTCTTCCGGTTTGTGTTTTAGTATGACAACTATGAAAGTGCACGAAAAACCCCTGGAAAATAATTCTACAAACTTAAATGGCTTTGCAAACTCAAAGCTGCTTCATAACTTTTAGTGTTCAAGCAACACCTTTCGCAGTGAACATCATGAGCACACACTAGCTGTCTTGGAGTACATAATTTTAGCGTATAGGAGTACCTAAAAATTGCTCGCCTGGACTTGGTCAAGGCACAATAACAACCAAACCACACACTAGCTGTCTAACATGTACAATCCATTTACATTGGAGGTGCCCATTTTCCAGCTCTGAAGTCCTTATCAAAGCAGGATCGTTTTGAAACAACATAAAAGACTGCACCAAGGAAATAACACAAGATAAGGATTTAAAAATGAAATTAAATGGAAATACCTCCAACTAGTGACAGGAATCGTGCATGTTGTACTTAGTCACCGAAAGGTTATGTATAGTTGCTTGATATATTATGCATGGAATGCTTTCTTGAGAATATAAAGACACACCTGGTATCATTGGGATAATGAAGTTTGGTTCTTTCAACACATCATGAAGTGTTCTTTTTTCATTTACTTTGACCCATTTGGATGAACCTGGAACATTAATCATAGGAACTTCAGATAAAAATTACATGGCATTGTGAAGTGTAACCAAAATTAATGAGGAAACGAGGTTGATTCCTTTTAATAGGAATTAATATATTGGGCATATTCATCTTCGTAAGCACAGCTGGTTGAAAGAATGGGTATGTAAAATTACCAATCCAGGTCCAGAGAAATCAAGTGCAATGATATACAACCAAGTGTTTGCATGGTCATATTTCAAAGAAAAAAGGCACATATTTTTGCATTGTGCTAAAGAATGCAACATAAATTATACATACAAGCAAACGAAGTGTATCACTCTACCGGTACCAAACTGGCACTGACAGTATAGTCGAAGAGATGCCACTGTTTTATACTAAACTATTAAACCTTTCTCAACAAATCATCTTTGAAAAAATCGCTATAAAAAGGAAAAAAAAAAGAAACTAACTCAACATAAATATATGCTAATATGTATGATAACCAAAGAGCTTTTCTCTTGTATTGTTGTCAATCCTCCAGGTAAGCAATAAGATTTTAAGAAAATAGAGGGAAAAAATCTGGATAAAAAGCTTTTAGTCTTTGGATTGAAAGAGAAACTGCACCAATAGTTGCATAAAAAGGTAATGCTAATAAGAGGCTGCGAACTAGAAGTAAATTACAGCAAGGTAACGTTTAAAATAATTTCAAAATGAAAAATATTGGCTCTATGCTTCAGCAGTTTAACTCTAGCAACAGAAAAGCACTCCCAGCCTCAAACATATAGTGACTAACAAAGCAAATTTTGATGTGAAAGGTAGATTAGAAAACATACCACCTACAGAATCACCAGAAGGAGAACAATCAACTGCATCCTTTTCTTCCTCTCCAACACTTTCCACATTAGAAGCTGCAGTTCCTTCTAGAAGATAATGGATAATTTTGGTCTTAGACAGATGCCCACCGGAACCAGCCTGACATAATCAAGGATAATGAAAATGAGCATCAAAGACTGCTAGATGCTACGAAAACAGCCTCAATGTCTTTGGCCTCCAGCAAATGACTGTGATTTTAAAGCTCCTTTAGCATACTGTCATTAGAAGCATACATTTTAACATAGACAAGTAGCTGTATATTAAGAAAGCTACATGATACTATCTCTCTTACAAAGAAAGTTGCTACAAGTAGGCAACCTGTTGGTTTCCTAAACTACCATATATGTGCTAATGACACACATGGTAAGATATCAATGCCAAGCATGCTACGCTGGAATTTGTCCAATTCAATAACTTGAGACTTGAGTGCATCACAATCATTAATTCGTTATCAATAGGGGCATACCTCATAGTAAAGTTCAATAGCTTCACGGGTATAATGGTTTTCTTTATCCCACGGTAAAGGGGGACAACTTTCTGAAAACATGTTTGAGAGTTAAGGACTGTAGATAAGGCATACGAAACTGAAAATATTACAAACTATATAGTGAAACTAATAAGCATTTTGATATTTAAAAGAGAAAAAAAAGGATATAATATCCAGATGAGCAGAAAACATTTCAGTTTCACAGAAATCCTCTATAAAATCACTGGACATAACCTCAGCATAGAGTAGCAAAACAGGCCAATGAAGAATTCCATTTTTATCCAATTCCGGCTTCCTTAATCCAGTAAGTTCTCTGTACATTGCCTTCCCAATCTTCAACCTTCTACCTTCAATGGCAGAAACAAGGTCCTAATCAAGCAAACAGCAAATAAGACCCGAAGCACTTTCTTTTTTTATTTTAATTAAGAAAAGGAGCTTTTGGGAGTCCAATTATAAAACCTTAGCCTCTACAAGGGCCTTAGAAACTTGAGCTTCACGCTGCTCCTGTTCCATCTTCTTCAAATCAATCTGCTTTGACAGTTTCTTTAACTCCTCATTACTTGGATCTTTCCCTATTCCACTTTCACAATAAGATATCGCCTCCGATAACAAATTTAACGACAGACACGCTTTGGCAGCTCGATAATAAGCCTAAACAAAGATATTCCAAGAATGAACAAATCTTTATATATATCTATCAAAAAAGA